TCTTGTAAAGGTGATTGAGATATTTGAGAATAGGAAAGGAAGCGTTTTTACTCTTTGATGGTGTAGAAGAAAGAGAATGGGCTTTGAAGCCAGAGAGATCAGGGTTCAAATTTCATAGCATCAGCTCCTTTAAAAAACGGGGATAAAAATATGTATCTTGCAGATTGCTTTGAGGATTAAATACAATTAGATAGAATAGAAAAAGCTGTGTACACAATATGTGCTCAATAAATGGTAGCAGCTGTTTTGTTAAGGTAAGTTCAGGAGGTCTGAGGTACAGCCCTGCCCCATTAACAGTCTGAAAAGCACATAATCAGCCACTTTCATGACTGAAAATGAGGGATTTGGATAGGGATCAGAGAAAGAACTTATTGTACATAAAGAAACAAAGCACTGTTACCATGGTCTGTCAGCAGGAAGATGGCACAGGGCCCTCCTCTGCGATGTAATGTCACGGGACTTATGTTGGGAGAAAATGAGGGGGCACAGTGAGGCCCGAGGGGAACAACTCCCTCCCCTCCCAGAGGCAAAGCTGGAGTTTTTCCCAGTGGTATGACTGTGGGAGAGCCTGTAGACTTTAGCCTTCAGGAAGTTTCCATTGTACTCTGGTAAAATGTAGGTTATCCCTTTTATTATAGAATAGTTTCAGGTTTGATGTTTTCATACTACAAAGTTAAGACTGCTATCTGTTGATCAATATACTCCGAGAACAGACCCCATCCACTCCTGCTTAAATCCCTGCTGGACTCATCTCAGATATAAACCCTTCGGGAGGGCCTACAATGTGGCAGGTGCAACAAATACAAGGATGATCTGATAAGGTTCCAGCCCAGGAGGGACTGGCAGAGAGAACAGATAACTGATAGCTCTTAATACTGAGTGTGGGTGTTGAGTGATATGATGGAGCTAGGAATGAAGTGCTGTGGAGGGTACTAGAAGAAAAAAATTAATTTTGTTAGGGAGGTTAGGAGAACCTCCTCCAAGGAAGTGACATTTGATCTGATCATTAGGCAAATGCTTAGAGGAAAGGGAAGAGCCCTGGTGGCGCAATGGTTAAGTGCTGTGCTGCTAACTGAAAGGTGGGTAGTTAGAATCTACCACTTGTTCCGCTGGAGAAAAGACCTGGTGATCTGCTCTCATAAAGATTACAGCCTAGGAAACCCTCGCTATGAGTCGGAATCAAAGGCACACAAAAACAGCAGAGGAGAGGGAGAAGCAGAGGGGGAGAAAATACCATTCCAAGTGAAAGAAACTGCAGAGACAAAGCATGTTTGTTCATTCATTCCATTATTCTTGTGATATACAAATATGTGCTGAGTGCCAGACACTGTTTTTGGCACTGGGAATACAAAAGCAAGCAAGACGACAAGGTCCCTGCTGCTCTGATGGAGTTTACAAATAAACAAGATAATTTCAGGGAGTAATATGTGCTGTGAAGAAAATAAATTCGGAGAAGGTATGATGCAGGGGCACGTATGATTGGGTGTTCAGGGGGACCTCTGTTGAAGGGGCATATGACCTGGGACCCAAATAGTGAGGAGGAGGCAGTCTTCTGTGGGGAGAGTATTTCCCGTGAAGGAAACAGCAAATACAAACTACTACAGCACTAACCAGTTGTGGTTGAGTCGACTCTGACTCCTGGTGACCCCATGTGTGTCAGACTAGAACTGTGCTCCATAGGGTTTTCAGTGGCTGATTTTTCAGAAGTAGATCACCAGGCCTTTCTTCCGAGGCACCTCTGGGTGGACTAGTACCTCCAATATTCTGGTTAGCAGCCAAGCATGTTAACTGTTTGTACCACCCAGGGACTCTAGGCCTAGGCTAGTCCTGGTGTACTTGAGAAACAGAAAGAAGGCCAGCTTGGCTAGAGCTGAGTGAGCAGAGGAGCAGGAGAGATGGAGGAAGACCAGATGTTGGCCCCTGGTTAGTAGTGCTTTGTGGGCCATTGCAATGGGTTTGTTTTAAAGAAGTACCATCCAGCTGCTGTGTAGAGAATGGATTGGTAGCAGGAGATCAGTTGGAGGCTGTTGCTTACTCTAGGCAGGAGATGGTGGCTCAGACCAAGGGCAGTCAGTAGAGACAGACGTGTTCAGAGCAAAAATATATTTTTGAAGTGGAGCTGACAGGACGTGCTGATGGCTTTGTCAGGGTGAGGGAAAGAAGATTTAGTTAATCTTGTCAAATGCTATAAGTGGTTGAGTAAGATGAGCACATAAAAGTGACCTTGCTCATAGGAGTAGTAGTGCGATGTGGCAACAGTGGAAACGTGAGAGGATGCTGGAAAAGAATGGCTGTAAAGGTGTTGGGAATGAATGAATTTGGCCTCACACAGAGGAGAGAGACACTGCACCACCGATAAAGCCAGGCTGATAACCCAGGAACCTCCCAAAAGTTTACTGCCAAAGGCTTTCAAAAAACCCTCTGGCTAAATCTGAACAAATTTGTTTATGTCTCTACCTACAATTATTTCTAGCCCTAAACCAAAAACCAAACCCATTGTCATTGAGTCCAACTCATGGTGACCTGTGTGTTACAGAGTAGAACTGCTCCATAGGGTTTTCTTGGCTGTAATCTTTATGGAAGATTGCCAGGGCTTTCTTCCATCATGTTGTTAGGTGGGTTCGAACCACCACCCTTTCAGTTACTAGCCCAGCCCTTAACTGTTTATACCACGCAGGGACTCTGAGTAAATGTGTATTTAGGGGTAGGTAATTAAAGGTGCTTAGGTTCACTACTAGCTTCTATTCGTTTTATTTCTACCCTACTGCGTAATAACTCACAATGCTAGGCTCTTTTTGACTGGGAGGAGGCATGATCAAGTTTAATAAATATTTTCTGTTGGGTTGCTGGCTGGTTCCATAGTTTCCTGGTCCTTGTCCTACTGTCTGGCTGCCGTTTCCAGTCCCCTGCATATATACAGCACGCCTGCAGGGGTCCTCGGATCTCTCTCTGAACAGCTGCACTAGGCTCGTCCTTCTTAGCTAACACTATCTTTTATTTAAACAGAAACAGTAGCCACCAATCTCATTATATAACATACCAATATCCTCGGGTGTTAAACTAATGCAGCTTCTACTGTTAGGGAGTGGTGATCTGGCAACACAAATATTCACTAGGAGAATATTGCTGAAACCTTACACCAAGTTTGACTTTCTGGCTCTAGTTAGAATTTCAGAGCTGGACGGGATTTCAGAGAGCATCCCAATCCAATCCTTATTTTGAAATGTGGAGACCCAGGCCTAGAGAGACAAAGAAATTGGTCTAAGAGGCAGATCAGGACTAGAACCCAAGCTCTTGATAATCCAAAGGAATTCTTGCATCTTCTTAGATTATGTGTAATGATTCTTATTTGAAAAGCAAGCTTTTTCCTTTGTTTTAGACTCTCCAAATTTGTCAGTTGTGAATAATGACATGGTACCCTTCTTACAATAAAACTGCAAATCAAAGGCTGATAGAGGTGTACAATGATGCTGATGTATTTGAGTTTTGTTGTTTTAAACTAACATTGGGACTGATTCACACCCACCCATGTGTATTAATACAATTTAGTTGGTCAAATATAGTTTTAAAGACAGCTGGGTGGAGTTGGGGTGAAGTTGTGAGCCACTTGGGGACCTACCCCAGCACCATTCTCTGTCACTTGGGCTCCCAAGTCTGTAGGCAAGCCAGTGTTTTGAGGGGAGCTGGAGTCAGCTGTGCATCCTGAAGCATCTCCCATCCTGCTACTCATTGCTAGTCGATTTCAACCCACAGAGACCCTATAGGACAGAGTATAACTGCCCCATAGGGTTTTCAAGGCTGAATTCTTTGTGGAAGCAGCCTGCCACATCTTTCTCCCGCGGAGTGGCTGGTGGACTCGAACTGTCAACATTTCAGTTAGCAGCTGAATATTTAACCACCATGGCACCAGGGCTCCTCACATCCTGAGAGCTGCTCAATAAAACATGGTTCCTACTGAAAATTCCTCCTGCCTCTCTGTGGAATTGCAGAACACCAATAGCTTTGAATGGCCACTGAGTGTAAAGGGTGGACCTGGCTCTCTTCCCCTGCCCCCTGCCAGCATTCTTTCTCATATTGACCCATTTTCCTGCTGGGGACACTGCCCCACTTCACCCATCTGGTTACCTCCCTGGATTTCCTGACTACTATGGGCTTATTTTTTAACCTTCTTTTTCCTTGAAAAGTACCACCCCGCTGGCCCAGAATGTGGGTTTCTCCTTTCTGGTCACTGTGACCATCTTACTCTCTCCCTCTAAAAGCCCTGGAAAGTCAGTAGCAATAGGGGACTAGGTGCCTTCCAATTCTCCTACGGCCTCTTTCCTACTTTTAATTCGCCAAAGTTACTAGCAAAACAGAGTAAAGGGGAAATGCCTTGCTTCTGGGTAGGGTCTGGCTGGGCCAGGTTGGACTGGCACTATCTCATTAAATTCAACTGTCCCAGTTCCTGAGGGTCTCTTCAGGGGACTTAGGGCTCTGGGTTAGGAATGGCTAAGGTGTAAGGGGGGAGGGTTACTATCCTGGCCCTACAAATAGAAGCACTATAAACAGGCCCCTCCCCAAATCCCAGGTTCTGGGAATCATTCTGAGACTCCGGCCCTGACCTGAGCACAAACCCTAAACCCAAATTAACAGCCTCCACCCAGGCTTTGAGAGCCCACCCATTCTAACCACCCTTTTCCCTGCTCCTCCAGCCAGTTCCACCGCTTGGCCAGATCCCGCTGGCAGAGCCTCGCCTGGCCGGACCGGCACTCCCTCCACGCCCTGCACCCTCACCCGGCCAGGGCAGAGGGGTTGGGGGTTGGAGGTAGGGGAAGCAGGGGGCGGAGTTCCGTCCTTCGCTGATTGGCTTGGTGCGGATGGGCTGCGGCCGTGCCCGGCCAACCCGCGGCGTGTTGCTATGTGCCGAGCGGAGGGGATAGGCGCGGGGGCGCGTCCGTCACCGGGCAGCCCCCGGCCCGGACCCGGAGGGATGCAGAGTGGTGGTGGCGGCGGCGGCGGCGACGGCGACGACGACGACGACGACGACTGTGGCTTTAAGAGCGCGCCCGGAGCCCGGGATCCAGTCGGGCTGTCCTTTGCTGCTGCGCACGCCCGCGGAACCCGGCCCAGCGCTGGCGGGACGGAGCAGCTCGCTGCCGGGTGAGGGAGCCAGGCGCGCGTGGGCGTGGGGCGCGTTGACAGCGCGGGCGTCTGGCACCTGGCACTGGGCATCTGCCCGGTGGCTTCTCTAGCCCCAGTCCCGCGGAGCACGCGGCGCCCTGCACTCTGCGGGGCCGTGGCGAGGTCTCGCTTGGGGTCCCAGTGGGGCGGGCCGGCGCCGGGGGCGGGGAGCGGGCCGCCGGGGCCACGTGACCGGTTTGTTTACAAACACTGCCGGGATCCGGCTGCGGTCCGCGGAGCGAGCCGAGGCTGCTGCGGCCCCGGAGTCGCGGCCGGGGACCCGTGCGCAGGGCCAGGCAAGTCTGCGGTGCGCGGTTTGGCGGGGGACGGTGGGGAGACCGCGTGGCTGCTTCCTTTTCGGCTTCTTCCCCGCTGGTTCGGACGCCGTGGGGGCTTCAGAAGCTATCTGTCCCCTGGAGCCCGTCGGGACCCCACCTCTGGGGGACTGGCCGCCCTCGAAACTCCTGAGAGAGCGCTTCCCCGGCCCCGGGCCGAGGTAGCTGCAGCCGAGTTCTTGCCTAGCCGCTTCCTGGCGCTTCCCCAGTGTCCTTGCCAAGGCGGTGGGCGCGAAATGTAGGGGTCTTTCCAGCGACTACCTCCTAGCGACTGGCGCTGAGGGGCAGCCCCGGCCTCTCACTGTTTCTTATCAGTTTCCCCTCTTCGGCCGCTGGCCTCCTCTGGGTGTCTTTCCCCAAGCAGTGGGCTTTTTCTCTTTCCTCCGATCTTCAGGGTGGCGGGGGGAGGGGGGAAAACGGGGCCTGTGCTTTTGGACCTCTTGCCCAGGGTTTTGCCACCTCTGGCTTCATCCTTTTAGCTACAGGAGTTTAAAAAGCAAAGTGAATGTTCTCTGTATTTCTCTGTTTTGTATGTAGCTGACCCTCCCACAGTCCCACCGTTGTTGAATGGCACAAGGAACTGCTCCTGGGCCTTGCTGGGCTTTTGCTTCCTGGCTTCCTTGTTGACTTGCTCTCCTTGCATTCTGAGAGGCTTGTTCAGTGAGCCCTTACCTCTGGTGAGTCTAAAGGCTAACAAGACAGCCACTCTTTTTCTCCTGCTCTTCCAACCTTCTAGTCCTGCAAGATACGCAGTCCTGTCCCAGAGCATTGGGCAAGAAGGGGAGCTGTCAGCTGCCCTCTACCCCACTGGGTCACAGAACATCACAGGTGCAAAGCAACAAGGGGCTGGAGAAGTTAAGGGACTTGCCCAGGGTAACACCTTCCTGGCTCTGGGTGGGCTTGATTCTGATTTCTGGGCTTACAGTGGGTTTGGATTCACTCTTCTATGAGAATTTTCTTTTATCTACTCACTGCCACAGGGCCCCACCTGTGGGCCTAACCTGAGTGCTTTCCATCCCTCCCCTCATTTCTTTAGCACTTTTAATGCTCAGTCCTGTGTGCCTCTGATAAGGAACATTTTCATTCTTCTTAATTGATCTGAGTGGCTACAAGTTCTTTCCTGAGAGAGCAGGTCCAGCCTTAGGAGAGCTGTGCAAACTTTTCCTTTGGCACCTCCCTTATCTCCAGCCCCATGTTAGAGTCTCAGCAGGGAGGGGAGTGGGGCCAGGGCTCATCCCCTGCTTCAGTTTGGCTTTGCCTTATCAGTTTAGGAGTTAACAGTATTTCCTGAATGGTCTTGTTATCTCTGTGCTTGAACTAAAATCAAGAAGCTTGAGGGTTAGGGGTTGTTGTTGTTGTTAGGTCGAGTCTGACTCCTAGTGACCCCATGTACAAAAGAATGAAACAGTGCCTGGTCCTGCGCCATCCTCACAATCATTGCTATGCTTAAGCCCATCGTTGCAGCCACCATGTCAGTCCATCTCACTGAGGATCTTCCTCTCTACTTTACCGAGCATGATGCCCTTCTCCAGGGACTGGTCCCTCCTGGTAACATGTCCAAAGTATGTGAGACAAGTCTCACCATCCTTGCTTCTGAGGAACATTCTGGCTGTATTCTTCCAAGACAGATTTGTTCACTCTTCTGGCAGTCCATGGTATATTCATTATTCTGGAAAGTGGAAAATAAACACCATATATGTAAGAATACTGTTTTCCTTCTTCTCTCTGAGAGTCGTTTTCAAACTAACTGAGAGCCATAGTAAGACATTTTTACATCACTGCACACAGGTACACAACTGAAATAAAAGTTCTGGGAAACAGTAATTACCCTTACTACCTGCCGTGTGCTCTAAAAATGAAAATAAAAATAAAAAATCATCTACTGGTCATGACCCATTAAGCTGATTTCCTGACCAAAGGAGTCATGGCCCACAGTTTGAGAAATAGTGCTGTAGGGCAGAGATCCTCAAACTTAAGTGTGCATAAAGGTGACTGGAGTAGTGTTTTAAAATGCAGTTTGCCAGGATGCTCCAGAGATGTTTATGCCCAGTGGGTCTCGGAAATCTGCATTTTTAATAAGTGGTCCAAGAGATTGTGATGCAGATGGTTAATAAGAAACCCTGCTCTAGTGGGAATTGGGAGCAATGAACAATGAAAAGCATAAACTTGCATATGAAGTGCAAAGCCCTAGTCAGGTGTGGGACCCACACTCTGTTCAAGCACATGATCCATCATTCAGCTGCCAATCACGCTAGCCAAGGCTTTGAAAAGTCTAAGGGCATAGTGCTGCTTGCTTACAGCTGCTGTAAGAGACAGTCATCCTCCCCACCCCACCTCACCCTGTGTGAGGGCTGCTGTTCACTGCTCTGTACTGTACCACTGTTTCTAGGTGCGGGGGGGGGGGTTTGGGGGCGTGAGTAGTGCTGATGAGTTCATAGATGACATGAATTTTCACACATCTTAATGATTTTAATGGTTTTGAGGCAGCGGCACATTCATTGTGCCTGGGGTATTAACAATTGGCCAGCAGAAGAAAGGGTTGATTTTGTTTATTTTAATATCTGGATATTCCAGACTGTGTGGCCTGGGGGAAGGGCAGGCTGGTGACTTTGTTTTGAGTGAGGGAAGTCAGGGACTCATCTATTGTCAGTTGTTAATAAGTAGATGCACAAGTACCCACACCTTGTCTACCCCATCCATGGTTCTTTGCCTTTGTGATCGCCCGGCTTCTGTGTGCAGGTCTAGGTTGTTACCCAGTTTCTGAGGCTGTTACGTCTCCCTTCAAGCACAAACATACACACATCAGATTTTTCACTCATAGTAACTATGTCCAAACATGTTAGTAGAAGAAATTTCTCTGAGTTAATCAAAGCTGCAATTTAGCTTCAAAAAGGACTCTAAATTATCCAAATTCAACTATGGACCTTCTTGCCAAAGGTGTGACTTATTTGGGAACATTAACTGTGGGATTGTTTAAATTAACTTTAATAATGTTCATTTTGGCCAGGCAGCTTACATTTAGAACGTTTAGTTTTGAGCATATGGAAAAAAGAAAGGAACAAGGATGGCAAAGGAACAAGAACAGAAAAAGAGGAAAGAATAATGATGTTCAGGTGGGATTCAAATGGAGGGATTAGTTCTGTCTGTAAATTATTTTAGCGTTTTACTGGGTTTGTTAACCAAACCCGTAGGTGCTTTGACAGTTGCGTTCTCTTAGAATGAAAGGGTGTAAAGCTCTGGAAAGGGAAGCACCTTTTTGAACTTTAGCCTCCAATGATGGAAAGCTAGGAATTGGAAAATCAAGGCCTGCAGGCTGAAGGTATTTTGTTGTTGTTGTATACCATCAACTCATAGGACAGGGTAGAACTGTCCCATGGGGTTTCCTAGGCGGTAATCTTTATGGGAGTTGATATTTTCAGTGACATTTTCTTGATGGCTCAATTATCCTTAACAAGAGCTGGGACATACTTGAATTTTGAAGGACTGCACCTCCCTGAATTTCCCTGGGAGCTGTGGATATAGCCCCGAGGGCTTACACAACATAGATCAGATTATGATATTCTCCTGTTTAAAACCTTTCAGTGGCTTCCCATTGCCCTTGAGACATAACCCAACTCCTTTCCCTGTATGCATTGCCTGTCCCCTTCCCCCAATTTCTCCCACCTCATCTCCTGCCAGTCCCCACCTTGTCCTCTCTGCTCCAGCTCTGTTGTCCTTCCTGCTGTGCTTGTTCCTGTCTCAGGGCCTTTCTATTGGTAGTTCCTCTTCCCAAATGCCCTTTCTCTTAAGTTTTTGCTTGGTGGCTCCTTCTCTCACCAGAGTCTCAGAGAGCCACTCCCTGACCAGTTATCTAGAATGGCTCCTCCCATTAATCCCCTTAATGCACTTTAATGTCATCTGAAAATGTTAGTTATCTGTTTGCTAAAGGAACCCTGGTGATGCAGTGGTTAAGTGCTCAGTCAGCAGTTGGCAGTTGGAACTCACTAGCAGCTCAGCTGGAGAAAGATGTGGCAATTGGCTTCCCTAAAGATTATAGCCTTGGAAACCCCATGGGGGCAGTTCTGCCCAGTTCTGTAGGGTCCCTATGAGTTGGAATCAACTGGACGGCAATGGGTTTGATTTTTTGGTGGTTTTATTTGCTAGATTGGAAGCCCAATGAGAGCTTTTGTGTCTTTCTCCCTACTGACAGTGCCTGGCACAGAGTGGGCACTGGACACATATCTGTTAGTTGAATGAATGAGTGCGTGAATGAATAACTAAAAAGAGCTGAGGTTTAGCGTCTCTAGAGTACGAATTGTTTTTTTTTCCAAGAGAGGAAAAGAGAATTTCTTCTGCCTTTTCCTGGGATAGGTCATTGTTCCCTTAGAATTACTTTCTTACTGAAATTCTGCTTTTCATGATATTTTTCATCCTTTTCTTTCTTTTATAGACCCACAAACTCTCTAAAAGCTCCATTGCTTTTTGTTGTTGTTGTGGAGACAATGGTGTTAATAAGCAACTCTTGTCTCCCCAGTAACCTTATTCTAGGCCTCACTGTTTTTTTCCTGATAAACGTTAGCATTTCTATGATTAATACTAAACCCGAAAACCAGCCCCACTGCTGTCCAGTCAATTCTGACTCATAGCGACCCTGTAGGACAGAGT